GGTGCCACCTCTGAGGGCACCCCACCGCCCGTGGCCCCTCCGAGGGGAGCGGGCCGCGATCAACCCGATGTGACCCTCAACTCTCTCCTCTGAGGGCATCTGCCCTTCAAGCCTCTCCTCTGAGGGGATCTGCCCCTCAACCCGCCCCTCTGAGGGCATCTGCCCCTCAACCCGCCCCTCTGAGGGGATCTGCCCTTCAAACCACTACTCTGAGGGGATCTGCACCTCAGCCCTCTCCTCTGAGGGGATCTGCCCCTCAACCTGCTCTTCTGAGGGCATCTGCCCTTCAACCCGCCCCTCTGAGGGCATCTGCCCCTCAACCCTCTCCTCTGAGGGAATCTGCCCCTCAACCCGCTACTCTGAGGGGATCTGCCCTTCAACCCGCTACTCTGAGGGCATCTGCCCCTCAACCCAGGCTTCTGAGGGCATCTGCCCCTCAACCTCCTCCTCAGATGTACCACTGAACCCGCTTCTCTGAGGGGGACCCGCCCCACCCACGGCCTTTCTGAGGGGACCGGGACCACGATCAAACCTGAGGGGATCTGCTCAGAAGGTGGATCCCATACCTGCTTCTCTGTGAGGTTCCCCCCTCAATCTGCCCCTCTCAGGGGACCCGGACCGCGATGTTCCCCTATGAATGGATCTGTCCCTCAATCTGCCCCTCTCAGGGGTCCCGGACTGCAATGTTCCCCTATGAATGGATCTGCCCTTCAATCCGCCCCTCTCAGGGGTCCCGGACTGCAATGTTCCCCTCTGAATGGATCTGCCCCTCAATCCGCACCTCTGAGCCCCAGCCTGGCGGGGGACTCCCCGGACCCACAAAGGGCAGCTATGAGTTGGTGCCACATGTGGCAGTGACATCTGCCAGTGACATCCCCAGTGACATCCCCAGTGACATCTCCCGGAGTGCAGTCACGGCCCACAGTGTGCCCCTCAGCACGGCCACGAGGGGACACAGCTCCCACGGGCACGGTGTTGCTCGGAGCTGGGGGTGGTGAGGCAGGAGGATGGTGGGTTTGTGTTCTCCATTTGGGGACAGACCATGTGGACACACCTCAGGTGTGGCCACAGTGGAGCACTCTGTGCTGATTTCACCTTTGGGATTTCACTGCATCTCATTCCAGCCTTAAGTCTTTTAATGATCTAGCCTTGCTGGAGAGGTGGAGGAAAGGTAGGACACACCATGGGTTTAAGGGCACAAGGATCCTGATCTAGGCAGTGTTGTACCATCAATGTGTTTGAAAAGTTGTGAGATGTTGGTGCAACACCTTGCATGCAGGTTGCCATCATCTCTCAGCACAATTTCATACACTACAGAAGTTTCATTCTCTGGGGAAAACCAGAAAAACTCCCTTTTGTGTGCAAGCAAACACCTCAAATACTTAGGGAACACCCTGAATCAGAATCACAGAATGGTTTAGGTTGGAAGGGACTTTAGGATCACCTAGTTCCAACCACTGGTTGGAATGGTATTTAGTATTTGGTATTTGGGTGGTATTTAGGATTTCCAGAAAGAAGAAGTTACCACAAAATTACATTTCATGCTGTGTTGCTTTCAGATCATACTGTTCACAGACCAACATGTTAACATGGCAAAGGGGTATTTGAGATAACTGGTTTAAATCTTTTGTTGACAGAATTAAGACTGAGTTCCTACATCTGATGCACTGGTGTAAATTCAGAGTAATTCAATTAAGAGAATACAGAGCTCCAATACTGTATATTTGCAACTGTGTCTGATGCATGCCTTCCAATTAGCACAGCACAGACCATGAGCTTTGAATCACTTTCTGTTTGATCACAAACTTGATTTGAAAACTCTGCCAACAGAATTTATCCATTATCCTTAATCATTTTTACTTAATTTCAGTTGACTTAGGTACTGAAAATACATGCATGTATCACACAGAGTGTATTAGTTGTTCTTCCCTAACTCTGGCCATTTACAAATTTTTACAGAGCTTTTATTTTTACAATCTCATTCTTTTAGCTCATGGTAATATTAGTATATTTTAACAGGTGATGGATTGGGAGTGATGGCTTCCAGGGAGGTTAAAAGTCACATGCTAATCTAATTGAACATAGTCCTATACACAGTAATTTGGTGCAGACAAGTGAGTGAAAGAAGAAGGAAATAAATGCCTTTTGCAATTGCTGGGTTTTTTTACCTGCATGGGTATGCTAGGAAAGGAGGAGGCAGCTGTTGCCTCCAATACAGAATCCCTGAGTGGCTAAAAAAGAAACGAAATTCTTATTCAAAAGTCCTTAGTGAAACACCCAAACAGCTTGGCTCTAACTGTCTCTTACTCTGAAGTGACACTTTGCTGACACAAGTCCATCTGGAGTTCATACTCAGCAGAATTTAACATATGGGCTTTTTCCCCCCAGGTCAGAAATGAACAATGACTGAAAAATGTCTCATTTTTACAACAGAGCATCGAGAGCATGTTGCAGAGGTAAGACTAAAAATTTCTGCCAATTCATGGGAATCAAAACCCAAAACTGAGGCAGGAATGCTTGGCAGGCACTCCTGGCTTGTGGGAGCTGGAAGTTTTGTGTCTCAGCATGTCCCCTGGGAAGCATTTGGGGAGTGTGCTTTGGAAAGAGTCAGGGCACTCCCAGCAGGGAGTTGTAAGGGATATCCTTGGGGTCACTGCTTGCCCCAAGACTGAAGAATGTTTTGCTGCAGGTATTGGAATTAGTCTTGGTTTCCATTTTGAGCACATTCTGCATTTGACACGCTGCTTTCTGCAATCTTTGTGAATGTACACAGGGCTGTAAGGTTTGCTTTATGCTGAAATCATGTGATAGGTGACAAACTAGTTCAAGTCTTTCTCCTGGTTTTATTGAAAGCAGTGTCCTTGCCTATAGCTGGGTAGCATCAAGGCCCCATGCCAAGTTCAGGTTCTTTTACAATGTGTTTCAGCAGAAACCAGAAATATTGTTCTCAGTGGAAGAAACCACTAAAAAAGCACTTAAAACTGAAGAATGCTTTAGATCTGAATTAGGATTGCCTCTCATCTGTGGGTAATACCACAGAATCACAGAACCACCATGGATGAAAAGACTTTTAAGATCATCAAGTCCAACTTGTCAGCCCAGCACCACCACTATGTTCATCACTAAACTGTGTCCCCAGGTGCCAGATCCAAACAACTTTTTTGGACACTTCTGGGGATGGTGACTCCACCACCTCCCTAGACAGCCTGTTCCAATGCTTCACAACCCTGTGAAGAAATTTTTCCAATATCCAATCTAAACGTCCCCTGGCATTGCTTGAGGCCATTTCCTCTCCTCACTTGTTCCCTGGGAGAAGAGCTCGAATCCCCCACCCCCCCCCCAACTGCCCCCTTCTGCCAGGGAGTTGTGGAGAGCCAGAAGGTTCCCCCTGAGCCTCTTTTCTCCAGGCTCCAGCTCCCTCAGCCACCCCTGGTGCTCCAGGCTTCCCCAGCTCCATTCCCTTGTCTGGACACGCTCCAGCATCTCAATGTCCTTCCTGCGGTGAGATATCACAAGGTATTGCCTTGGTTTTGCTATTTTGCTTGGAATTCCAGGAACAAGCAGTACCAATATTATGAATTACAGCCACAGTTTCCATATTTATAAATGGCTGTGTCAGATTTGAGACAGAAGTCTCATTAAACACATTGTTCATACCTCAGTTGAAAATCCAGACTGTTAATAGAGCTCTCCGATTTTTTATTTCTTTGTGTAGGTGTTTGCACTTCCCCGGGAAGGCAGGGATGTGAAATATTGTGCCATTATTGCAAGGGGCTGGCAAACAGACATTGCTGGCTCCAGGAGATGGCACTGTGTCCTCTGGGCTGAGAATTATACCCACAGCTCTGAAATGTACATCCAGAACCAATGAAATTCTGAGGGGCTTTTGCTCTTTCATGTTATGAAACACACATTTCATTGTAGACCTAAATTCCTCTTTAAAAGTATTTCATCTCTCTTATTTTTTGCAGATAACTGGTATGTAAGTGCAGATGTATATTTTACCATTATCTGTGCAGTGTCTTGTGCTTTGCTCTTACAGTGCTTCTCTGCAATCCAGTGAGTGGCTTTATAGCCACTGGGAGAACAGGAGAACAGCAGGATGAGCATTTTCAACATGAAATGCTAAGGTTGTATAACAGTTCGGGGTTCCCAGGTACTTTCAGAATTGAGTTCCTGTGCATTTCAAGTTGTAACTTAATGATGGGTAAATTTCTCAGAAAAACACAACCCCCAAGCATATTAAAAAACTATTTCACTAACAAATTCCTCATTAAAGGAGGGGGGGGGAGAGCTCCTAAAACGGTTCTGGCTTTATAGTTTAGCTAGGAGGGAGGCGTTTTTTCACTGAACTTTCTGCGTGTCATTTGTAAGTTAAAAAACTATATGAAAAAAAGGGTTTATTTGTGCTGCAAAATGTGCTGGCTGATAGCGGAGGCTTGACCAGAAGGGAAATGGGTGAGGCCTCCACATCCTGTGTATGTCCACACCGAGCCCACGCTGTCCTTTCCTTTCCTTTTGTACCCGAGGCTCACGGGCTCGCCGCTCCTGCACCGGGGTGTAAACGCTCTGCAAGGTGCCTTGTCACGCGTAGTGAATAAACTTCCAAAACCCGAGAAGTCTTCACGGCACAATTAACTGAAATCGCGAATTCTTGGTGCTCAGCGCTGCCGGTGTCCCCGTGCCGGGAGGCGCCTGCGGGCGCTGCCCGGAGCCCCGCGGCCCGGCCCCGTTGAAGCCGCCCGAGCGGCGGCGGCCGCTGCCCCCCCGCCGGCCCCCTCCCTCCTTCCTGCCGCCCCGCTGATGTCAGCCGAGCCCCGCCGGGGCCGCCGCCGCTGCAGCCGCTCCGCGCCCGCCCGGGAGCACCCCCGGCCGCGGCTGCGCCGGGGAACCCGCGGCCGCCCGCCCGCCTGAGCGCCGCGCTGCCCCCCCGTGCCCTCCCCCGAGCCCAGCGGGAGCCGCGGCGGCCGCAGCCGCGTTGCGGCGGGGAGGTGGGAGCCGCGTTTGGCAGCCGGGGAAGGCGACGTTATAAAAAGCCTTTGTCTTGGGAATCAGCATCGCATCTCTCCTGCCGCCCGACGTGCTGACGGCGGGGGCGAAAGCCACATTTTCGGCTCGTTTGTTCTTTTCGCCGCCCCAGGCATGTCTTGACACAGCCGCGAGAGAGCTCGGCGTTTCCATGCACTTCCGACGGATGTCTTCGGCTGGGGCGAGAGCGGTGGGGGTTTGAGACTTTGTAGCGTATCTCGGTGCGAGCGTCTGTGAGATTCCCATGATCGCAGTGTGAAGGAGGAAGAACTGGGAGAAAGAAGCGGTTGTGGTGGTTTCTCTTCTTGCTGGGTCAGCCTTCCTGGATGGTTGCATTACTGTCTTGTGGACACATTGTCAAGCGCGCACAGAGAAAAGAGGCTTAATTCTTTCCCCCCGTGTTTGGTTTCCGTCGTGATCTCTGTGCAGAAATCACCACTTTTCTCCCAGTTCGCCGGTCCACACTGAGCAGCAGGAATATGCTCATGAAGGAGTACCGGATCTGTATGCCTCTGACAGTTGAAGAGGTAAGATCCGCGCTCGTACCGGAGAGGCTGCTCCTTGCCGAGCCTTTTCTCTTGCAAGGCGAATTGAGGTTATATTTGTTTTGCTGAATATTTTTTCTTCGTGTAATGAACTTAGTCGGAGATGACTGGTTAGAGAGGAATGTTTTTATTGGAAAATATAGGAATCCTGCAGGAACGAAGGTAACTTAAGTGTATCAAAAGCATTGTGTCATCAAAATATTGATTATAAAGATTTTCCAACCAGACTTTTAAGAGGAATTTCATGCATATTTGCAAGGGAATGTTTTGTGCTGAAATTTCTATCTGATAAAGCGTTTGTCCAAAACCCAGATTCTAATCATATTTCACCTTTACTTAAAATACCCTCACAGCTGAACATGGCCTGAAACTCCAGTACAGGTAGGGAAGAGAGGTGATCATTTATTAGTAAAACTTTTGTCATTTAAAGAAGTCATTGAAAGTCAAGCAGCTCTTTGTCGGTGTTCTGAACTCTGTGTTAGGAACATTATGTTTTTATTTATCTGCAGGCATCCCACCTGCTCACTGTTTTAATTAAGACAGTAATACCGGCACGGAGTACACGTGCTCCGGAGTTACTGGTGCTCATGGAGTGTTTGTGGGTGCAATTGGGTGCCAAAGGCCTGATGGCGTTTGGAAAGGAGATGGTGCTTTATGGTTTCGCGTTCTGCAAGTACAAAAACACCTCGGTGTTGTCTTATTTGGCCATTTCTGCTGCGGATTTGGCATCGCGAGGGGCAGCGAGCCCTCTCTAAGCGCGCAGTTTGCGCCGAGCTGCGCGCAAAGTTCCGCTGGTCCCGCGGGCAGCGGTGGCGCCGCCAGGGGGCGCCCAGCTCCGGCCCCGCCACGGCCCCCGCTCCGGCCCCGCTCCGACCGTGCCACGGCCCCGCTCCGATCGTGCCACGGCCCCGCTCCGGCCCCGCTCCGGCCCCGCCACGGCCCCGCTCTGACCGTGCCACGGCCCCGCTCCGGCCCCGCTCCGACCGTGCCACGGCCCCGCTCCGGCCCCGCTCCGATCGTGCCACGGCCCCGCTCCGGCCCCGCTCCGACCGTGCCACGGCCCCGCCACGGCCCCGCCACGGCCCCGCTCCGACCGTGCCACGGCCCCGCTCCGGCTCCGCCACGGCCCCGCTCCGACCGTGCCACGGCCCCGCCACGGCCTCGCCACGGCCCCGCCACGGCCCCGCTCCGACCGTGCCACGGCCCCGCCACGGCCCCGCCACGGCCCCGCTCCGACCGTGCCACGGCCCCGCTCTGACCGTGCCACGGCCCCGCTCCGGCCCCGCTCCGACCGTGCCACGGCCCCGCCACAGCCCCGCTCTGGCACTGCCGGAGGGTCCCAGCCGAGGGTCCCGGGCGGAGCGCCCCAATTCGCTCATTAACCCGCTAATTAATGTACACATTTGTTCTTTGGCTCCATCCAGGCGAGTGTTTTGCCGCACAGTTTTATTTTTTCCAGTATGTGTGCAGAAGTCTTCGCGGGTGTGAACAGAGTAGTCGTCTCAATGGGTTTTTTGTCCGTATCTTCAGATTTGGCAAATTAACAGTTCTCTAAAAGTCAGAATTGGAACTGCCAAATATTTACTTCAGGCTGCTCAGGAAATTCCTTTTGCTGGGAGCAGGAGCTAAAACCACCATATACATGAAGTTACATAGACATAGGTTTAATTCTAGCATGTTTCCATCCAAGTTATATCATATGCTGTGATATTGGATGGCATTTTTCTTTTAATACATAATTTTCTTTGTTTATTGCATTACTCTAATGTAGACAACATTTTATCCAAGCCAGTTCCTGATGTCCTTAGACTACCACACTTAGTTAATAACAGTTCATTACATCATCAGAAGGGAGCAGATCTAATTTATTTTGAAACATTATTGTTAAACAAGATTTCCAGATGCAGAAAAGTTCAAAAATCTTCCAAAACAGGAATGGTTGATTCATGACGAGGCAGAAGGCAATGGTGGATGTCATTTGTTCTCTAGAATGTTAACAGAATTAGTAAAGACACTCGATTTTGTAGTTTCTCTTATGTTGAATCATCTATTATTGAATCCAAGCACAGTAGCTGAGATGCCTGAATGAGGAACCTAGAACATGTCTAATGTTTAGGATCAATTTAATTATTATAAAATGAACCAGGACAAAACTTTAAAATTAGCAAATACCTTATTTTTCTTACAGTATTTGCACACTCAAGAGGTCCCACACTGTATTTCTCATGGTGGTTCATCTTTGTGACATTTCTTGCAATCTCAGGAAGGTGGTGTTATCTTATTTTTCCCCTCAGTTGCACATTAACTACCAACACAGTGAGATTTTTTGCCATCAGTGTAAAACAAGGTGCTGCATTGTGCAGTTGTCAGGAGAACATCATGGGGCAATGCTCACCCTTCAAAAGGCAGGAGCATTTTGGTTCAAAGAGGCCCAAACTGCCTTCTGCAGGGTGCCAAGTCACTCTGAAGTTCAGTGGGCTCAGAGGGAAAGGCAGATCCCACAGGAGCTGCAATGTCCTGCACACTCGGGATGCTGGGCTCTGCTGGGCAGTGGCACTTGGGGACCTGACCTGCATGGACACCACTGGCAGTTAAGCACCCAAGAATTTTTGAGGTTCTGTCTCAACACTTGTGGGAAAAATGCAGTTCTTTCTTAGGCAACAGCATGGTTTTCCTTTTTATGCTATTTCTCTTACGTAGACTTAATAAACTCTGTTTTTTCTGTTGTTTGGATGTTCTGCCTTTCAGCCTGTGCACTTTATGCATACATCCAAAAGCACTTCCTTGAGCAGATTTCTTTTTTTAGCACTGCCTTGCCAGTTATCCATCCACAGAAGTCTCACAACATGAATGAGAAAGAAGTATGTCCTTAATTTGTGGTGTTGTCACCAACACCAGAGTGGTCTCCATATCATTCCTGTGAAAATAATCTGGCACAGGCAGGAAGATGAAGTGTTAGCTCTGTCAGCCAAGCACCTGTATCCAACCTTCTGTAGTCAGATTTTGTGTGTAATGTGAAAATATGTGCAGTAAAGTGTTGTGTAATGTCCAGGCAAGTAACTGAAGTCGTGACCTCGCCTGTAAATACCTGTGCAGGCAGCAGTGGAGGAGTTGGTGCTGCTCTGGCTGACTATCACCACCTAAATTTATCTCTAGAGAAGAGTTAAAAACTGAGAGATGTCAGTGGAACAGCAGCACTGTCTCCAGGTTTCAAGAGTTTCTGGCACTGTTGTGGATAGGAAATTCCTTCATTAGCTACTGCAGATCCTGTTCCTGAGGCGTTCTTTCCTTGATGCCCTTATTAGATAAGATACCCAAATATTTATAGGAGGTTTGTTTATCTACCTGTCTGCTTGGAAGCCAAATGCTTTCTTGCAAAGAAAACATCTCCTAGGAAATGCTGTTTGCTACAGACTGAACTGTTGTGGTGTATTTTGAGCCAGGATACAGGAGCTGGAGAGGAATATTTGTTTCTTGTCCATGAGCACCAGGAAAGATGGGTTGTTCCAAGAGTTCTTGCTGAGGTGCAGTGGCACCACACTACAGTTCTTATTCAAAGCTGAGCTGCCTCAGTAAATTGAATTTTTGACAGCTGTTTAGGTCTGTTACGTGTGCATAGTCACAAGCTGCCTGATCAGCTTTAAAATATTTTGAGAAAGGATGCACCGTGTTGACTGCTAAGCAAAATAATATCTGCTGTAAGAACTTTGCAAATAAGGTCAGGATGGGACTGTTGGTTGACAAAACCAATGTGATTGCCAATGAGAAGTCACTCTACCTCATTTATGGTACTTTTGGCAAATTGAATCCATTTGTTAACATTGAGACCTTTTAAATTAGAAAAAGCCCTTTCCTTGCATTAGTACATAAAGAGAGTAAAATCTCTTCCAGCAATTCCACAGGATATGTTATCAGTCTTCATTCCAGCTGCAATTAATAAATAAGCCTGCTGCTTGGTTATTTTTCCCCTTGCATTTTCATGTATTAGTTCATTCTTACAAATAGCTTGTTACATCATATGAGAGAATATTATAATAGGCTGCATTGTGGGTTTTAAATATCATCAGTAAAAAAAACACATTCCCAAGGAAGTGAAAAGAACACCAAGCAATTGAAAAGAGCAGAGATGCTAAAAAATTCTCAGGCTTGGAGCTCATTGCAATCAGAATTCCACAATTTTTCAGGGGAAGGATTACGTGGGTTTGTGCTTTAGAGATATCCATATCTGAAAATGTAACCCAAATGTGATAGGTTAGGGTGGTACTGAACTCTTCTGCAAGAGACAAAGTACAGTGAAATTCTTGATTTGTGAGGAAAGTGATTATTCTTTAGGGAAATAGATGGAAAGACATTTTTGCTGGATCCTGTTGAAAATTGAGTTGTTACTGCTATAAAATGCTATGAGTGATGTGAGGCTGGGTTGTGTAAATTTGAAAGCTGAATATCAAATAAACTACTAACTAAAGGAGTCATAGGGTTTTTTCCTTGGAAACAGGGATGACCATTAAGGTTTCTGTTAGTTTTGAACTGTCTGTGCATGGCCAGTACCTAAAGTCCTGACAGGTTTTTCTTTCCTTTGTTCTTTCTTTCAACCAAGATTATCTCTGCTGAGGCTGGTGGAATCACTCCCACTCTGTGTTTTAAATAAAAGTCAAGTTGAATCTGTGGGGAGCACTGCCTGCATGAGGTGTGGAGGAACAGCTGTATTGTCATGAATACAAACAAGCAGAGACCTGCAAAATGTCTGTAAATGCAGATCATGGTTTTTCAACAAAAAGTCCTTTCAGCATTAACAAATTCTGGTTTTAGAGGTGTTATCCTTGCTGCTTTATAAAAATATCCATTGTTTAGTTCTTGCTTCAAACATAATGAATTCTCCCAGTGTGGATTATTTACATAAAATTATTTCAACAACATCTGTGTAAACAGCATTTGTATCCTCTGAATCTGGTGTACACTTCTTCTTTAGAAGATTTCAGAGT